CTGAACTCAGGCTGGTGGACTCTAGAAATTCTACACCAAGGTCAAATGTGGCCGGTTCCCATTTTTTGCATCATTTATTCTGCAGTTACCATTTTGCATAAGCACTTGGCTAGTCATATTTCAAACAGCGCCTCTGGCTTCTGATAGGCACACCCAATTCCAAGTATATCATAAGGGCTAGAAGGTAAAGGTACCCCTGCCTGTACGGGCCAGTCTTGCCAGACTCTAGGGTTGTGTGCTCATCTCACTCTAGAGGCCGGGGGCCAGCGCTGTCCGGAGACACTTCCAGCGTGGCCAGCGTGACGAAGCTGCTCTGGCGAACTGGCACCAGAGTAGCACATGGAACGCCGTTTACCTTCCCGCTATAAAGCGGTACCTATTTATCTGCTTGCACTTAAGGGTGCTTTCGAACTGCTAGGTGGACAGGAGCTGGGACCGAATGACGGGAGCTCACCCCGCCGCAGGGATTCGAACCGCCGACCGTGCAATCGGCAAGTCCTAGGCGCTGAGGTTTTACCCACAGCACCACCCGCTAGAAACATGGTTTAAAATTAGGGTTGTTTCTAAGGAATGCCCTGCTTCCACACCATATATTCCCCAGCAGCTGTACAAACCAGGAAAGGGAAGTTTCATTCAGAAGAAAGTGTGGTTATATCGTGCCTGAAATTAGGCTGCTGGTAAAGATAATAGGAGCAAGAACATTAAAAAGTGGGAGAAGCAGTAAAAAGGAGAGAAGCAAGCCTTCTGTCCCATCCATTTCTTTTCCTGATAGGCTTGTGTGCTGCAAAAAGCTTGGGTAACAGTATTTCCCCACTGCCTGTCCGTTTTCCATTCATGCTGTCTGCCAGATCTCCCATTGTAGATTAGTTGCATTTTCTCATTCTCTTCCCCTATCCCCAATTTGTTACAGGCCCAATTAACGACATCATGGATAGGCAGAAAGTAGATTGGGACCCATCAGTGATCTCTGGTGATTTTCTACAGATCTGCAAGAGTTTATAGTTTCCAGTTGTTTAGCAACAGTGAGAACAAACTACTCCCCCCCCCCACCTGAATTGGGCTGCTCAAATGAAGAAAGTCAGCTGGGAGTGGACTTTATGGGGAAAGACTGTGAGCACAGTTCAATTCTGGTGCTGAGAATAAATTCCTAGGCTCAGGATGAGATGCTCACAGGCTCTTCTAATTCTAACAGTATGCTCCTTCCATCTTGACTGCTTTAAATCTTAGGGTCCTGAATTTGGGCTGGGCGACACCTGGTTTTCAACACTGTGATATATCACCAGCTAAACATCGTGATATACTGATATATCATGATGTCTGAAATAAGGATGTAACTATGTAAAGGCATTGGCTGGTTTCAGGGATTTTCCTGCATGGTGATTTTTGCATAGTGCAAGCACACACACACAAGGGCTGGGCAAGGTATCAATACATGGTCAGAAATAGGTTTGAAGTCCACATTGTGGTAACGGTTTCATAATATTCAACATGGCTATATATATGTGGAACTTCAAACGTCAAGGAGTTAAAGAATCACACAACTTTTAGAAGACACCTGAAGGCAACCCTATATTGGGAGGTTTTTAATGTTTGATACTTTTATCATGTTTTTAGGTATGCTGTAAGCCACCCAGAGTGGATGAGGAAACACTGCCAGATGGGTGGGGTATAAATAAAATTACTATTGTTGTTGTTGTTATTGAATCACAATGTGTGGGGGTGCTAAGTAAAAAATGGTGATGTGGGGAAAACCGTGAAGCCAGTCATCACTTCTCTCACAATTCCTTCTGCCTCTGCCCTCTATGTAGTTACATCCTTATTGCAGACATTGTGATACAGTGGTGCCCAGCAAGACGAACGCCTCGCAAGACGGAAAACCCGCTAGACGAAAGGGTTTTCCGTTTTGGAGGCGCTTCGCAAAACGAATTTCCCTATGGGCTTCCTTCGCAAGACGAAAGCCCATAGGGAAATCTCTGGGACAGCGGGGAAGCGCAGCGTGTCTTCCCCACTGTCCTCGGACCTCCTCCGAAGGCTGGCGGCGGGGCGGGGACACCTCCTCCCGACGCCAGCCTTCGTTTCTCCGCTATCCCGGACGGCTTTTGAAGGCAGGCGGGGGGGAGCAAAGACTTTCGCCCTCTGCTGGCCTTCAGAAGAGGTCCAGGACCTCTTCTGAAGGCCGGCGGGGGGCAAAAGTCTTTGCTCCCCCCTGCCTGCCTTCCCGGGGGCTTTTAAATCGCCCCGGGACAGTGGAGAAGTCCTCCGCTGTCCTGGGGCGATTTTAAAATGCTGGCGGGCGGCAACGAAGGCTTCGCTGCCGCCCGCCAGCATTTTAAGATCGCCCCGGACAGCAGAGAAGCCCTCCGCTGTCCCGGGGTTTTTTAAAATGCTGGGGGTGGGAAGAAAAGCCATTGTCCCCCCCCCCAGCCTTCAGAAGAGGTCGGGGGACAGACTGTCCCCAGACCTGGTCTGAAGGCGGTTTCCATAGGAACGCATTGATTGATTTTCAATGCATTCCTATGGGAAGCCGTGCTTCGCAAGACGAAAAACTCGCAAGAAGAAAAAACTTGCGGAACGAATTAATTTCGTCTTGCGAGGCACCACTGTATATTGGTATATCGTGATATTTAGCTGGTGATATATCACAATGTTGAAAGCCAGACATCTCTCAGCCCTAACACACATCATGATTCATAACATATTGCCAGGTCAAAAATTATGAAACCGATACCACAATTTACACTTCAAACCAGTTTTGGATGATATATCGATATATCCCCCAGCCCTAGTCCTGATTTAAAAAACAAAGTAGATTCAACAAGCCTGAAATCGACTCACTCCTGAAATGTGTGGCCAAAAGGCCGAGGTATCTTTAAACTGCCCTGCTAATGCAGGGTTTGTGTTGCAGTTTTACCTGTCAAAATTATGCATGCAGCGCCATCGTTAAAAGGCACAGGAGGCTTTGGGGCAGGATGGGGGAGAGGGAACCCTAGTTTTTAGAAATCATTCCTCAATACAGTGGTACCTCGGGTTACATACGCTTCAGGTTACATACGCTTCAGGTTACAGACTCCACTAACCCAGAAATATTACCTTGGGTTAAGAACTTTGCTTCAGGATGAGAACAGAAATCATGCTCTGGCGGCAGCAGGAGGCCCCATTAGCTAAAGTGGTGCTTCAGGTTAAGAACAGTTTCATGTTAAGAACAGACCTCCAGAACGAATTAAGTACTTAACCTGAGGTACCACTGTACGCACAAATGATTCTTATGCACTCTGCAAACAAACATCTGTTAAAAGATATAACCTTGCTTGGCTCCAAACCTGGCTGTATCCCCAAGAACACCTGTAAAGGTGGTTGTTTTTCCTCCCCCTGCTGTGGACATGCCAAGGCAGGAGGCTGCGCTAATGTAGGAAGAATCCAGGTGGGGTTTGTGAACGGGGCCCCCAGCCTCTGGGACAAATTCAAGGCTGGGTTTTCAAGAGTTCTGACAAGAGAAGGATGTTTAATTAGCTTGGCAAGAGCTGGCCTGAAGGGGCTTGGAGCGAGGCATCATATTTGGACGGGAAATGTACCGGTATTTTTAGTACGGGAGCTGAGAGATGTCACGTGGTTTCCCACATCCAACAGGGATGAGGAGGGAGGCTCTGCCTTCGCTAATCTCCGGGCAAGTTTATACATTCCACAAAACGCTTAAGCTTTTCCTAGAATGTTACCACTTTAGGATGCAAAGGGTGTGTGTTTGGGGGAGGGAAGAGGCAACTGGTTCGTAGAAAAATAAGTGTCTTAGGTTGGTGGGACCTTCTTTTTGACATGTCGCTTCTCTAGCTAGAGAGGTCCCCCTTCCACCTGCAGCTAGAATAATAATAAATTTAATAACAAATTTTATTTATACCCCACCCTTCCCAGCCAGAGCCGGGCTCAGGGAGGCTAACACCAATAAAATCACAGTAAAAACATAATTGGGGGGGGGCAATTTAAAATACAGGTTAAAATATAATTTAAAACGCAGCCTCATTTTAAAAGTAGCCCATAGATCAAGACCATAAGGGGAGGGCAACATAAGGGTCAGACTGAGTCCAAACCAAAGGCCAGGCTGACCCAGCTCTGTCTTGCAGGCCCTGCGGAAAGATTTCAAGTCCTGCAGGGCCCTGGTCTCTTGTGACAGAGCATTCTGCCAAGTCGGGGCCAGTACTGAAAAGGCCCTGGCCCTATTTGAGACCAATCTAACCACCTTGCGACCTGGGACCTCCAAAATGATGTCATTTGTGGACCTTAAGGTCCTCCGCGGGGCATACCAGGAGGCATGAAGTGGCCTACTGATCAGGAATGGGAACCGATGGTGCTCGGACTCCAACTCTCATCTGCCCCAGCCAGCATTGTCAGTGGTCAGGAATGATGGGAGTTGTGGTCCAGCAGGCCCGCAGCATCCTCATCCCTGCTTCAGAAGATGGCCTCTGTTGTCGGTGGACAGGGATGATGGGAGATATTGGCCATCGACATTTGGAGGGATGATGGGAGTTGTAGTTCAACAACAACTGGAGGGCCAAAGGTCTCTCACTCCCACACCAGAACCATCCCTTACACTTAGAATCATAACCCCCTCAGCTAAAACATCAGTGACAGACGGCCACCCAACCTCTGCTTAAAAACCTTCAAGGAAGGAGAGTCCACAACTTCCCGAGGGAGACTGTTCCCCTTATGACTGTCGTGCCACTGTTAAAGACATGGAAATCCTGCTGTAGGGCAACAAATCAAGACTCTGGGTTTCAAATCTACTAAATTAACCTTGAATTGTGCCGCGTGATCAGTTCTCCACATTACTGGGGGAAAGGAGAAGAAATTTGCTTATGCGATGTTATGCTAGGCCTTTGGGGAAATTTCCATTGGCTGTTCACTCAAACCTTCCAAGCCAACTCCTCATCAAAGAAAACAACAACAACAACCACAGATTTCCTTTGGGATAATGCCTTTTTTTTTTAATTACTTGCCCATGGATTTATAGTTAAAAGTCCATTCCACGGAAGGACTCAAATAACTCGAGACACACAAAAATTAAAATAATTATATATAGTACACGAAACAAACACAACGTTATTTGTGGTATAATACATTTTCTTCCTTATCAGCAGTACAATATATTGTGGAAAGGGGAGTGGACTTTGGGGAAATAAGGTATGTACATTGAACTTCAAATTTCTCCCCTCAGATGGTACCTGGGTCAAGTTTAGAAGCTGGTTAGAATCACTGACAGATCGTTTTTTAAGCTAGCCAGAAAGATAAATGACCACACAGCACCACCCACTGGTAATTTATGAAATAATTGCGTTAGGAACTTCAGATCACTTTAATGCCTCTCAGTGAATACCAGTTCATGTCAAATAGTTATTCCTTCTGCCATTTAACACGGTGTCAGCAGTGTGTACTAGACCCTGTAAAGAACAGAGAAACTGGGGAGTTTTGCCTAGGAGGTTTATACTTCCCAGACAAGGCAGACAAGAAATTAGTAGAGGAAGATGGCAGAGATGGATAAACTAAAAGAAAACCAATCATTCTTCTCCAAGATCTCGTCTTCTCCCATGTCAAGTGACACTTGGAGGTACCAGAACTTCTGAAGACTTAGTCAAATGTGGAACCAGTCACTCCTCGCAGATTTAGCCTGTTCTGCTCAGTTATGGGGCAGGGATTAATCTGAAACAGGGGATGACGGAAGCCTGAAATCTGATTCCAAACTCTAAACCCTAACAAAGTAAAGGGGGTCCTGCCATGTATAGAACACTTTTCCCGCCCGCCCCCCTCACCAAGCCAATGCATCTTGTAGCTTCTGAGACAGCTTGATATCTCTCTCTAGAAAATAACTTAAGCCCTGCAGCACGAGAGTCTCCCTAACTCTTGCAGGTCCATTTGTAATCCAGAGCCTCATGCTTGGCTGAAATCTCAGTTTCTCCACCACCAGCAGCCCTCCCCAAATTTAGCTGCCCCCATGCCGTAGCCTGAGCCATTTGGAGATGGCTTGTTTGGCCATCTTGTTGAGGGTCTTCAAATCTTGGGAAGCAGGGATTGCTACTTTGAGGGGCTCCAGGTAGGTTGTTCTGCAGGTTCAGGTGAATATGGGTGTCTGGGAGCATCCAAACCACATTAGCTGTGGAGAGAAAAATGAAGATACACAAACAATAAATATCAAGACTAGGATGGAGGGCAGCGCTTGCATTTCAGGGTCCCAGTTGCTCAGTGGAGGAACCTCAAGGGTGTTTCTGTATAGGAGGTGTCAGACATCTTATTTTTATTTTATTCTATGAAATTTGTAAACCACTTGATTGCGAATAGAATCTCCAAGCGGTTTATAAAAAAGAAAGCAAACATTAAAATTATCAATAAAAAGGAGTTAAAAACAGCAATTTTTAAAAATGTAGTAAATAATTAAAAAATAAAATAAGCTAAAAACATATTAAAAAGACTTGCTGGCTTCTACATCTGGATAGGCTTGTCTGAACAAAAATGTTTTTAGCAGGCGCTTCCAGCACAATTAAGATTGTGATGACATTTAATGCTCCTCAACAGTTCAGAGCCAATATATTAAAGGACCGTCTACATCATGGAAGGGGAAAACAGTGGCATTCCGGTCATTGATGGACTACAACTCCCATGACTCAGTGGGTTTCTCCAGACTGTCGTCATGATGAGGGAAGCCACAGTGTATGATTGGTTGAGAGATCAGGAGCTACTTCTGGCAAGCAAAAACACTTTGTCCTTCGAGCCGGAATCGAACCAGCGACCTAAGGATGGCTTGGACGACAATCTACAGTCCTCCGCTCTACCGGCTGAGCTACCGAAGGAACAAACCTGAAGCTTTGCCTTGTTCTTTTCAACTTTGGATGTGGCTTCCTTTTTAAAAATAGCTAGCAATTAGCCTACAGGGCATGGAAGTGGAATTTCAATGAAAGCTTCCCTATATTCCTTGAGAAATCTTGGCACAAAGTCATGACGCTGCTGAGGCAGCAGTGGAAGCTCTGGTACCTGTGTGGATCACAGCATCACCAAAAGATAATGAACTGAGATGCGGGGAATCCCTTATAGCAGAAATGGGAAGCTGTACACCGGCTCCCTCGGCCAATAAAGCGAGATGAGCGCCGCAACCCCAGAGTTGCCCGCGACTAGACCTAATGGTCAGGGATCCCTTTACCCTTTACCTTTATAGTACTGTTTGAGCCCTTGTCTGCAAGGTTGGATTTAGGGTTTGATGAGGCCCTAAGCTACTGAAGGGAATGGGGCCCTTTATATGCCCAGCTGTCCTTTGTCAACAACGAATTGTCGCTGTTTTTTGTGTTCAATATATACTATATGGTAATTTATGGACCTAATAGGTATCTATTAGGTCCATAAATTACCATATAGTAGAGGACAGAGGTGCTCTGGTCCATGGGGTCACGAAGAGTCGGACACGACTAAACGACTAAACAACAACAACAACAACAATAGGTATCTAAAGCCATTTGCACATAACAAAATATATATTTTACCAAAGTAATTGTTGAACTGAAATACAATTAAGAAGAAGTATATTAACAGTGAAAGTGATATTTTAGGGAGCAGGCTAGCATGCGGGGCCCATTACTTACATCATTGGAGCCTACACAACACAAAACACTGTTGCTGTATGTAGGTTTTATTTGTTTTTTATCTTATATTTTGGAAATGTACATCCAGGTTTTTTCCCTTTAAATTTTTTGGAGGCCCCCAAGAGAGTGGGGCCCTAAGCTATAGCTTGTTTAGCTTATACATAAACCCGGCACTGTGTGTTTGGCTTGCATAAAGCTGCCAGATTCAATGCCTGGCAAGGTTAGTTTTCAAGTATCTGGAAATCGAGAAGGTGGAGTAGACTCACCATCTGCAGACTTCTCTGATGACTTCCTGGAAAAAAGAGAGAGAAGGTGATATTAGATGGATAGGTCAAGGTGGTAATCTTGTCTATATCGATGGAGCAGGAGCAAAAGGAAAATGTGTTGAGTCAGATTCATATTGATTGGCAGTAGGTTCAGCAAAGCCAGAATTTATTCTATATTGTTTACTTATGATGGTGTTTATACACTGCACTCTCATAAAATATCAGGGCAGTGTACAGCAATATACAAACTTTTTTTTTTTTTAAAAAAAGACCATTAAAAGCCTTACAGATCAATCATGAAAATGACCAGCTACTCAATAAAATTTTAAACAGCTGCATAGGCCCGTCGACATAGAAAACAAAGTAGAATGTTTCTTTGCACAAGCGTAATTTAATTGGAATTCAATGCCAAAAGATATACGGTGATGACCATTGACTTTGATGGCTCGTAAATGGAAGCAGTCACATCCACAGAGGATTATTTATTTATTTGCCATCTTGATAAGGGCTCTCTTGGAACAGTCCGGCGGCTCATCTAGTCGAGCATCTTTTATCACAGCGGCCAACCAGATGCTTATGAGAAGCCCCCAAGGAGGAGACGAGTGCCTCAAAAATCAATTGCTCCTATCTGTGCATTACAGTGGTGCCCCGCAAGACGAATGCCTCACAAGACGGAAAACTCGCTAGACGAAAGGGTTTTCCGTTTTTGAGCTGCTTCGCAAGACGAATTTCCCTATGGGCTTGCTTCGCAAGACGAAAACGTCTTGCAAGTTTGTTTCCTTTTTCTTAACACCGTTAATACAGTTGCGACTTGACTTCGAGGAGCAACTCATAGAACGCAGTGTACATAGTAGCCTTTTTTGAGGTTTTTAAAGACTTTGGTGATTTTTGAAGCTTTTCCAAAACTTCTTTTGCAGCCATTTGGTAAGTTAAGCTTTTAAAACTTTTTTGGGGGGGTTGGATTTTGGGTTGGGGTGTTTGGAATTCAAGGACTTGGTGTTGGGGAGGGGTTTGCAAGAATCTGGAAGCTTGTGTGTTTTTTCTGCATTTTTATGATTTTCTGTGACCATTGGGCCACTCTGCTGTTTTTTTAAAAAAATTCTGGATTTGAATTTCTGTGTGCTGGGTGGCTTGGGGAACAGTTGGGGAGGGGTTTGCAGGAATCTGGAAGCTTGTGTGTTTTTTTCTGCATATTTATGATTTTCTGTGACCATTGGGCCACTCTGCTGTTTTTTTAAAAAAATTCTGGATTTGAATTTCTGTGTGCTGGGTGGCTGGGGGAACAGTTGGGGAGGGCTTTGCAAGAATCAGGAAGCTTGTGTGTTTTTTTCTGGCATGGAGAGGCTGCCAGTTCTGATGTTTCTACGGCTGAAGACTTTGCAGCGGAGTTCCTGGAGGTTGTGAAGACGGAGGGCTACGTTCCACAGCAGGTCTTCAACTGCGACGAGACCGGGCTGTTTTGGAAGAGGATGCCCAAAAGGACTTTCATCACACAGGAGGAGGCCAAGTTGCTTGGCCACAAGCCCATGAAGGATCATCTGACCCTGCTCTTCTGTGCCAACGCAAGCGGCAACCTGAAGATCAAGCCCCTGCTGGTGTACCACTCGGAGAACCCACGGGCCTTCAAGAAACACAAGGTCAACAAGGAGCGGCTGAGTGTCATGTGGCGATCCAATAGTAAGGCTTGGGTCACACGTGTGCTGTTTGTGGACTGGGTCAATCAAGCTTTTGGCCCTGCTGTCAAACAGTACCTGCTGGACAACGACCTGCCGCTGAAGGCTTTGCTTCTGATGGACAATGCTCCTGCTCATCCTAAAGGCCTTGAGGAGGACTTGCTGGAGGAGTTCAGCTTCATCAGCATCATGTTCCTGCCACCTAACACCACGCCACTGCTCCAGCCGATGGATCAGCAGCTCATCGCCAATTTCAAAAAACTCTACACCAAGGAGCTTTTCAGGCGATGCTTCGAGGTGACTGATTGCACCACCATCACCCTGTGGGAATTCTGGAAGGACCACTTCGACATCGTCACCTGCTTGAAGATGATCACCACGGCCTGGAACGGGATCAGCCAGAGAAATTTGAATTGCGCTTGGCGCAGCCTGTGGCCGGACTGTGGCACCAAGTGACTCTGATGCACCAGAGTCAACAGTGGTGCAGGACATTGTTGCCTTGGGGAGGACCATGGGCCTGGAGGTCACAGAGGAGGACATCAGCGAGCTGGTGGAGGAGCACGACCACGAGCTGACCACCCAGGAGCTGGTCGAACTGCAGGCAGAGGCTGCGCAGGAGCAGGCCTCGCTGGAAGAGGAGGAAGCAACTGAGGAACGGCTGTCCTCCAAAGAACTGAGGGACATTTGCCTGAAGTGGAAGGATGTGCAGGCTTTTGCACAGCGGCACCACCCTGACAAGCACGTGGCACATGACCTTGTGAACACTTTTGATACGAGGGTCATGTCGCCTTTCAGGGAGGTGCTGAAAAGGCGGATGAAGCAGCAGACCATGGACAGGTTCTTCAGCAAGAAGCAAAGAGTGGAAGAGGAACCTTCTTCGAGTTGTCCCCCAGAGTCTTAGAAAATGTACTGTACACTTTGTTGATTTTTAAATGTTTTTCTGTCATGTTTAGAAACTTAAATTATTGTTCCTTCAATTTTTGAAATGCTCTTTACAGTATGTGTGACTTTAAAGAGCACTTAATAAACTCTTGTTGTACCAAATTTGGCTTTGTTTGGACTTTTTTTGACCATAGGAACGCATTAATTGATTTTTCAATGCATTCCTATGGGAATTCGTGATTCGCAAGACGAAAAATTCGCTAGACGAAAAAAGTCACGGAACGAATTAATTTCGTCTTGCGAGGCACCACTGTATGCTTATTTAGTCCACATTATCCCAGTCAAGACAGAGCTCTTATGAATGCAAACTAGACAATGCAAGTGTCCAAACGAAGGTCAGCAGAGGGCTTGAAGGCAAGCGTCCCCAAGCCCAGATGAAGACATATCTTCCAGCATCTCACAAGTTACGTCAAGCCAGACCATGCTTGTGTCACCCAAGTTCTCATGCCAAAGATTGCTGTCTGAATGTTGCCCCCTCCTGAACCAGGTACGCATTTTGTGGTGCATTTGTCCCTCCTGCCGTAGCCTGCTCTTCAGTCTCCGCAGGCAAGAGGGTCTTTGGGTTAAAGGCAAATGAAATTGTCCTGCTGCACTAGGGATGAAGGGATCTGTGGTTCTTCAGATGTTATTGTGAGCTCCCATGAAGTTCACAAGTTCCTCCCTGCAACTCTGGCCTGATGGTAGGGCAGCTCCTGGTTACTCCAGAATAGTGAAGAAGAAGAAGAGGAGGAGGAGGAGTTTGGCTTTGATATCCTGCTTTATCACTACCCGAAGGAGTCTCAAAGCGGCTAACATTCTCCTTCCCCTTTCCCCTCCTCCCCCATAACAAACACTCTGTGAGGTGAGTGGGGCTGAAAGACTTCAGAGAAGTGTGACTGGCCCAAGGACTGGCCACAGCAGCAGCATGTGGAGGAGCGGAGACGCGAACCAGGTTCACCTGATTACGAGTCTACCACTTTTAGCCACTACACCACACTGGCTCTCTAGTGAAGGGGAGCTAGAAGAGATGGGTGGAGAACTAGCAGAAGGAAAATAACTCTGGCTCCTCCAAAGGGTTACTGGTCTCTTGCTATTATTATAATTCCAGGCTTTGCAAGGAAATAAACTATGTTGTTGTGTTTGCTATGTCAGGGTAGCTAGCAGGATGTTGCTGGACTCCCATCATCCCCTGCCAGCATGGCCAGTGGTGAGGGATGATGGCAGCTTGGGGTTCCAACCACATTTGGTGGGTGGGACATTGACTCCTTCCATGTGCTTATTATTTAAAGGGGCAGGCCCACTATTTTGGACAAGCAGCCCCAGACCAAGGTACAAAATGAATTGCTAAATTGAAGGGTGCGTGTGCATGTCTGAAAAACAAGGCAATGAGCTGCAAAAGGATAGGGCTCACAATGACACAGTTTTGACTCCTTAACTGAATTACAAATTTCAGTAAATGCAATTTTGTCTGTCCCTATGGGGCATGTTTGCCTAATTTCCCTCCTCTACACAACTAACACTGGTCCACCAGTGTGCCTTATGCGGTCACCCTAGTGAAAAATCTGCAATTTGCAGGGAGAACGCTGCTATGGGATTTGCTATCCTCCCAAGAACTTGTGTGCTCCTAAAATCTCTCCCCAATTACACTTAAACAGGCTATCCTACCCACCCACCCACCTTCCCCGACAGAGGATCTGTACTTAACAGTTGTACGTCAGCCTGAAATTCAACAGATGCAATCATGGTCACCTTTGTGTTGGGAAAAGCTGTGCCTGTTTAATTTCTGCCAGGCAGCTGTTAACGATAATTACATTGGCTTTGGTGGGGAAAGAGTTGGAGCCCCTTCCATGTACAGTGGTACCTCGGGTTACAGATGCTTCAGGTTACAGACGCTTCAGGTTACAGACTCCACTAACCTAGAAATAGTACCTTGGGTTAAGAACTTTGCTTCAGGATGAGAACAGAAATCGCGCAGCAGCGATGTGGTGGCAGCAGGAGGCCCCATTTGCTAAAGTGGTGCTTTAGGTTAAGAACAGTTTCAGGTTAATAACAGACCTCCAGAATGAATTAAGTTCTTAACCCGAGGTACCACTGTACACATTTGGACACACATGTATAAACACCGACAACTGGGAAACACTGGCCTGCGAGCACTCCAATTAGAGAACAGCCTTTACCAAATGTGCCATGGGCTTTGAAGACACTCAAACTCAGGACGCAAGGGAGAAACGTGCTAAGAGGAAGGCACGCTTGGCAAACCCTCACCGTGATCAACTCCCGCCCAGAAACCTATGTCCCCACTGTGGAAGGACGTGTGGGTCCAGAATTGGCCTGCACAGTCACTTACAGACTCACTTTTAAAACTGTGTTCATGGAAGAAGAAGAAGAAGAAGAAGAAGAAGAAGAAGAAGAAGAAGAAGAAGAAGAAGAAG